TAATTTCCCATAAGAACCCTTCGATTTTCATCTATTTCCATAAGCGCCCAATATCAATAAAAATCCTTGATATGAATCAAATTATTATATAATAAAATAATAATGATAATGATAATATAATAATAGTACTTATTTTCATAATCATAATGCATCATTGGAACAACATTTAAAAACAAAATTTTGGATTTAACACTGAGAGAGCCGCAACCAAATTCCGATGTTTCCAGCGTGCTTCCAATAACCTTCAATCACTGTCTTTATACCGCTTCATGTTGAGTTTTAATAGGCCTATTATTTTTTATACATGATCGCTGACGGACTGTAAAATCAAGATGTTTTCTAGCCAAAGATAGTTGGCGGACCGCTTACACCACAAAATAAACAAATCCCGAGTAGTCGCACTAATTTTGAGCTGGACAAGTATAAAGCCTATAATAGATATAATCATGTACTTACACAATTACTAACTATGCCAATTCTAAAATAAATATAAGTTGTTAAATACTTTAAATAAACACCTATAGGTACACGTGTTAAGTGAAACATATTATGTGTAGAATCTATTTCGATCGTCACTATAATCAGGGAACAATGATATGTTCCCTGCTATAATTGAGAACACCTCCTTGATGATTTCAACAACAACCATACACACTTTAAGGCCTACATTTACTTTACACATTTATGTTTACCTTTGACAGGCGTTCAATGCCCTCCAGGTAATAGAGGACTGAAAGGCGAAAAGGGTGAGTCGTATGTTAAGCCTAAACATTGCTATGGTAACATCACATCATGATCATATATGTACAATCTAGACTATATATGGGTACCTCATGACTATATTTATATGCACATCATTACTATAACTGAAAATTGTGATTAAGTGTCTAATACAGGCACGTACATTAAGCGGGATATATCAAGATTGTTAGTTAAATATCATTCAATATCGTAATACAAATGAATAATTGCTATAAAATGTTCCTCCATGTTTGTCCATTTTTTGCAATTATTGTTTTGTTTATATAGGCCATCATTAATAAGACTCTACTCCTGCAGTTAATAGCCTTCATATACTATCATTTTTATGTGCGCAAATTCAATTTGCAATATTATTATTAATAGCATTTTTGTTATTGTTTCTGTGATTATTATTATCACGTATTCGTTGTGTCATTAACGTCATCGTCGTAATCATCGTCATTGCCCATCGTCGCCGTCGTAGTTATTGTCATTTGTTTCACATTATTTAAATATACAAAAAGTTTCTATATGCTTTTCGAAAGTAAAATGAAACCATTGCAGTTAATAAGATGTACATCTTAAACTGAATTAAATTATCTATTTTTGCAGGTTACATTGGAAAACATGGACCGATGGGTCCAAAGGGGGATACTGGTGAGTGGTATCTAGAGTATATTGATAAGTAACCAGAAATGCTTTAAGAAGTCCTCTTCGAATTTATTTAAATCCCGTCCCAAATCTTCTTGACATAAATGGTCACCTCATTATTGTTTTACAAGCTTCGAATGCTATTTGCTATTTCTGAGAATCACATTTACATTACTGTATAT